TAATCAAGTATTCCCATAATAATTAGAAAGGCTTAAAACTTATTTACATAATGTTTAAAAAAAAATGTGGTGCGCGCAACACACAACTTTCACTTACCGCTCTACTTTTAATACAAATTATTTTCCGGAATGTTGGACTATTATACAATTTTTTTAAATGTGTTTTAAACGGAGCTAAAGCTTAAAGCTTTGAGCTAACAATTAATTAAGACCACTCAAATAACAAAAATCCATTTTGCGAGACTAGGTTTAATTGACCTCAGGGGACCTCAAAACGTATATTTTCGTTAAAACACGGTTTCGGAAATTTTCACGATCACAATACATTCCTTTACTATATACTTCATATATAGTTAAGTGAAAGTCAAATATATGAATAAAAATAATCGTAATCGGATCATTTCATCAAAGATACATCCAATATTAATTCAAAAATATGATTTTATTTATTATCGTATTATATTGTCAATAAACATTATACTTTTTTTCTTCTTTTTTTTGGTTTTATTGAGTATTAATACAGTCTGCCACACTGAAGAGCATTGGTACTAAGGCTATAGTATTCATTCACACAATATGTACATAAGAAAGGAAAAAATAAATAAATATATATATATATATATATATATATATATATATATATATATATAAATAAAAAGAAAAAGGAATATACAAGATAAGTAAAATAACAGATTAGCCGAATAATAACAAAATAAATAAAACACATTCACACCTATGTACAAAACATTATACTATGCTAATTATTCTCGCAGGTCAGCTGGTGTTATATATTATATAATATGAATTTTGCCAAAGGACTTTGCCAAACTGTGTTTCGTAGCCACTGCCATTGGGATTGCAGACGGCCATGTTCTGGATGGCCAGCCAGTTAGGTCTGGACTAAGTGCCGCAATGTTTACACGGCCATCCACCGGAAACATCCAGATCAGGTTTTCCACTTTCTCGATTCCTCTTCACCTAACAACTTATTCCTCCTTGGCGTTAGAATATTACTAAGTACAGCCGTTTCAGTGAGCTAATGTGATCGGCTAAGGAAAAAAATGAAACTCATGATATGAAGGCAAGGAGGTTAAGATGGGTGGAACATATTGCTCGGAGCAACCAACCAGGAAGCCACTACACAGACGATGTATGCCTCTATAGTAGGCAAGAGACCACTTGAAAGCCCGAAACCAAATGGATAGATCGAAACAACAAAGATATGACAGAGCTGCATACAGATTTCTGGAAAGAAATAGGCAAAGATAGGTACAGATAAAGAAGGCTGGTGAAAAAAGTAAAAGATCAAGAAGGTCTTTAATACCAACAGAAACAAAAATAACATCTTCGTAATTACCTATTATTCAATTTTTTAAGTGAAAACTTCTTTAGGCTTGTTTTGCAGTTTTTCTGTATAGAGTGAATTAGATTGAGTCGTCAGATCTCCGGTGTGTAACGATCGGGTAAAGTCGGATGAAGTCGACTAATTGACGTGTTTTTGCATATTGTTAGCGAGAGAAATGGTCATTTCAGCCTCTCTGTAATGAAATATAATTCAAAATTGTATCTTAACTCGACGCCATATTAGATAGGGAAAAGGAACAAAAATTATCGAAAACTAAATAATAATGAGTGTCATTGAAAATAGGGATTGAAATGTCTCAGAAGCTAAAAATCAGACCTGCATACTGTAAGCAACGGAATAGATCAGCAGTTCATCGTCTTTATAATGAGATTTTATTTATAATTTATATTTCATATTATTAATCTCGACTTGTTGATATTTTAACTTATATCGTGTGGTCTTAATCATACACCATAGTTTTTTATTTTAGTTTATTGTTGTATCCTAGTATACATTTTAGTAGTATGGAATTTTTTAGTAAAAATCAGGAATTTAGTAGCCAAGATTAATTTTTACCTTGTCTAGATAATAGCATTTTCCCCCTCTTCAGAATTATTAGCTACAAGCGTTTTAATAATTCAAAAAGTATTCTGAGTTGTTTGCATATGCATATAAAATTAGAAATATATACGTATTTACTAACAGCCAAAGGCCTGGGACAAGAAGCTCGTGAATAACCGAGCTGAGGGGTTGAGGTGAGGTGGCCGTGGGGTTTCCTTTTACGTAATGCCCCCGCTGTTCGAAAAAACGCAGGCGGCCACCGGCGGGCCTCGATAAATCAGTCTGTGTTCTAGCCTGGGTTCTATTGTCGTCGGGGTAGGACCCTCTAAGTTGCGCGGTGGCAGATGTAGAGGGTTCCGAGGATTAGTGTCCAAGGAGAGAAGGGGATGGAAAGGGTAAAGAAGAAGAAGAAAATAAACATAGCATATCATACACACCCTTTTGCGTTACTTGGTTATTTGGACTCAGGAAACCTCTAAACATTTATTTCCGTTGAAAACTCAAGAGTCGAAAATTTTCACGCAATTCGCAATACTGTCCGCGGGTAACATTGAGACCTATAATAAGTTAAGACTAGTGGAGATCCCGCTGGGTCTTATGTCCCATGTCTTATGGTGAAAAAAACGCTGCAAATTATTACACAATGGTTTATTATACCCAAATAATTTTTAACATCACTTTCCATGTAACATTAAGGAAAATAAATAAAAAGGGATTCCTAACATTGGTCTATATAATTTTCAATTTTATCATCGATATCTTAGTTGATACAGTTGATGTAAAACCTTTAGACAATCAAAAACCAAAACCAAACATATAAGCAGTACAACATAATAAAACATATTTAGAATACCATATATTCGCTGCATATCGTCCGATTTCAACGAATTTTTGGTTTATTTATTTTTATTTTTTTTTAAATTCGTTAACTTCTAAATAATCATCAACAAAAAAGTGTATACTTTTTGAGTTATTCAGAAATGTAATTTCACCACCCCTATTAACTTTTTTTTTCAGCTTCTTTTCGTCGAAGTACGTTTTACAGATAAATTTATAAGGCCATCGAGGAGAATACTTGTGCCAAGTTTTATTGAAATTTGTACACTCGTTAAGGCGCTAAAGCCTATATGAACACAGGTTTTTCGGCCACCATCTTGGAAGAAAAGGGCGAATAATAATGTCAACGTAGGAGGATCATCCTCGGGCGACCTCTGACTTTGATTCCAAGTTTTAAAAAAAAAATCAGTCTAGTAATCTTGGAGAAATGCTGCGGACAGCGGACGGACAAAAAAAAATTAACTCGATTTGTCGAATTATACTTATTGTGAAACGTAAAACCTCATATTTTGGATTGGTTAAATTTTAGAATTGTTACAATTACAACGGTTCATTGTTGAAAATAATAAAAAAAACTTGCTATATAAAAGTTGTGAAATGAGCTCTCTATGTGAAATAACACTTGTAATAAATGATGTAACCTCGTGTATGAGTGAGTGATCAAATTCCCAATCAACTAAATTCCACATTTTTTAAAACTTTACCATAAAATCAAATAAACTTTTGAGTTTGAAGACCTGAAGGCTAAGAAATAACAGTCCAGGTAAATACATTACTGTGAGGCAGTTAAACATTAATCATTAATATAGTGATCATATGTTCAACTGTGTTGGAGTTTATCGATACCTGCATTCCTGATACATTTTTAAATTATACTATTATAATCGCGAACCATGAGACTGTATTAATAATTAAAATAATGGACTGATGTTTTTCCCTTTTTATATATCTTATTAATTATTTAAAATAAATCGAAATTGTTATTGTTTGATAGATAGTGGAATTATTACAGGTTAGTAAAATGAAGATTATGGTTGTTATATTGTAAGCAGTGGTATGAGCACAGCCTCTTAGATATGAGAGGGAACATTTATGACCTCTAACCTCACCTCCCCCCCCCCACCTTCTCCTTCTCTCTGCCCTTTACCCCGTCTCCCCTGAGTCATATATCGGGAGAGAAACTCCACCTTATCTCCCGTTCTATCTAAGCACAAATATCAATAAATACTCGCTTTAAAGAAATTTATATTCTATAAATTGTATTTAGCTCTCGTCAGACTAGCAAAATATAGTATTTATTAATTGTGGGTTGATGTTTGACTGTCGTGAATAATAAAGAGAAGGATGAATGGAGTGATCAGTCAGAAGTAAAATGGCAAAAATTAATAATAATATTTATTTTAACATTTGCCGACGTTTCGACCAGATAATCTTTATCTGGTTCTTTTCTCAGCAAATGTAAAAATAAATATTATTATTTATTTTTGCCATTTTATTTCTGACTGATCACTCCAACCATCCTTCTCTTCATTATACTATTTATTATTCTGCAAAGATAAATAGCGTTAAAGAAAAGTGTTAGATAACGGAGCTTCATCACGAGAAAGAGGACGCTATGGAGCCTAGCTCGAATTTTTTGATAATTTTCTTTTGAGACATGTCGCCTGGTTTTGGACCGAGAACATAGACATATTTTTTAAAGCTTCTGCATCGTCCAGTTTTAATTTTATTACAATTGTTATATTAAATTACCACTAAGCCACTAAGTTCAGATCGTTGCTTCATTCCTAATTGGAAAGGAATCGCCAATCGCAAGTTCTTTTTATCTGCAAAGGAATTGAATCTGCCATACTCCAAATTATTTATTTTTTATTGGGATACATAATCTTTCTATTTTCATTTTTAGTACTTCTGAAGTAGGTATGCCCAAGAGAGGGTTTCATGGCTGTAACTTGCGACATCTAGATTTTTGTGGAGGCACATTTTGACGAAGTTATGAATTTTGGGTATGAAAAATTCCAAAATAAAGAACTAGGGAGAAAATATGAGACAGGCTCAGCTAGTGTAATTGTCTATGATCTACGATTTTTATAATTATATTTTCGCTTGCACTATTTTTCAGAAGAGGAGAGTAATAAATTTTTTGAAAAGGGGGAATGATCCATGTGCCATCGACCTTGGATGGGAGGAAGAAGGGTGGGCACTGGTGTTCTGAAGAATTCTTGAGAACTTCACTGCACAACGCCTAAAACGCACCTTAGACGAGAAGACCACGCTGGAACGTGACGCGTATAGATTTCAAAGTGTATCGAAAATCGATACTTGGTGTTATTGTGTGATATGTTACCCTATTGGGATTCCACGTGACGAGGTTGATCGCCCTGTTGAATGATCTCCTTATAGGCGGTTGTTTATCGTGGGCTAAGTGTGATCTGGTTTGTGTCCTGGAGATGAGTGTTGTGTTGTGTGTTGCTAGTTCTCTACAGCTATAGTAGTATCACCTTATATCGATAGTATGCAATATATATTGTCCTTTTTTATTTATTTTATATTTATATTTGTTCTAATAAAAATACCATAAAGTGGAATTTCGAAAAGTCTTTTGATGGAGCTAACGCATTTCGAAATATTTTTTGATTTCCTTCCATAGGCCTCCTAAATATTAAAATTGAATTACGATTTGAAGTGCTAGGTGTGGATAATTTGTTTGATTCATTTTTAGCCTGGCCTACTTATTTTTAGATTTTCTCAAATGGTTTTTAGCTGAATTATTAACAAAAGAATTTAAGCCAACAATACTTATGAAATCTTGACTTCTTCTTATTCTCTCTATCAGTTTATTATCGGTGATTGCCGAAAATCTTTCATTATTACTAATCTTCATGGTCAATGGTTTGTCGTTTTAGAATAAAATCATCGAAACATGTAGATATCTTTGAAATATAGGTATCAAAGATAAAACGTTTCCGCATGCGTAACTAAATTTAATTAATAGAATTAGATAAAATTTATTATTTTCTTATTAAGGACGCATCTTTCCATTTTACCTCTGGTCTTCCTTTTTTTCTTCTCCCTTCTAATCATTGTGGGTTATAAAATATTGTGTGATAGCAAACATTACGGATTTCACTATAATCATAATATTTCACTATAACGGAAGCTTGGATTCGGCTAGGTAGGGATGAAAATAAAAGAAACGGAATCAAATTGGTTCCTTTAAGTTTAAAACTTCGAACACGAGTGTAAATTTTCGATTTTGAGTGAAATTTAAATTTTGTTGCCTTCCCGGACGATTAAAAAGCTTTTCTACCTTTACTTTTGTGGGGAACGAAATATTCTTTAATCTTATAAGAAACAAAATAAAATGCCTTTCAAGAATATGTCAGACACTCAACATAAGTTAAGGGGTATCGTCGGTAAGTTGAAAAGAGATTATTAATAGTATGTGGTTGTATAATCAGCCTCTGAGGAAAGGAATACAATAGCCTTTCCTTTTCGTGCCATGTATATGCAATGATCCCGTACAAGGAATATCCCGTAGATATCTATAAGGAATTATCTGAGGCAAATAACAGAACGACAAGCGATGCGATCCCTCTAAAGGTATGATGGTGGAACATCATTCTGAATATGATAATTTTGACGGGAGCTACCCATCAGTTATCTGTCCACCTTAACCTTCATATTTTCATCTATGATTTGACTTAATGGTTCCCGAAGGACCGCTTTTTTTTTTTTTTTTTTTTTTTTTTTTTTTTTTACTGACATATTGTTAAATCGGTTTCAACATAATATTGACACTCTATCTCGAGAAAATTCTTTAAAAATTAATATAAAAATCAATTATAAATACTTAGTCATTATTATTAATTTTTTCAGTTAAAAAATATTTCAGCTGCCATCATATTATCCTTATTATATTTCTTTATGAATGCAGAGCTTGGCCGATTTCATTATGAAACGCTCAACACCTTAAGGTTTTTGTTAGGTATTGGATAAAATATTTAAATCTAAGATGGAAGTGTTAACTAGAGTAATTAGTCTGCTGCTTAGTCTGTATCGGTGAATATAATTGAAATGAAATGAAAAAATAATTTTATTCTGAGACTACTGTTCCCTAAGAATAATAACAAGGTTACAAATTCATGGGTCTTAGTCTGACATAATAATAAAAATACGGTACTTTTGGTCTAAGCGGCCGCTACTGACTGCTATCTGCCAATGTTTATAACCTGAACACTGATAACACCCATAACGCAGTGATAAGCCATCTCCTATTTCACATCTTCGTATTATTGTATTAAATTCGTATTATTGAAAGTGTAAACAGATACAAAAAACAAATGTAATAACAACAAAAATACTTTTATTTGACGACAAATATATTAATGAAATAATAAAAAAACAATTTAAGAAGATATGTACATATAAAACATCAAAATGAAATTTAAAAAAACAAATTTAAAAGAACATATTTACATAGAAAAGAAAAAATATCAACACTATAAACAACGTATATACAAATTATTTTAAGTTAATTATTCACTTCCTTTTGTCTTATTTATTTTGGAAGGCAAAATTGTTTTATGCTACTTAGAATAGCGAGGAACCTTCTCTGTGAACCCGCCGCCACAAAAATTCGCACAAATATTAATCGAGGTGTTGCCTGGCAGTTCCTCTATGTACTTTATTTCTCCACTTAGCTGAGCCCCACAATCGTTCTATGTGTTGAGTATGAACCCCAGTTGATGGATCGACAAAATTATACCGGTGATTCACTTGGAAATGGTCATAGTTTGCTGAATACTGAATTGCCTGTTCTTCTGAAGACGGTAAATCCCTTTTCTAAGAAGATCTATAATATGACGAAAATAAACGAAAAATAAAATGAAAAATAAACACCAAGGGGTCATAAACTAAAAAAAAATGTAAAATAAACACAAACGGGCCAAAAACTAAAAATAAACACAAACGGGCCAAAAGTAAAGAATTTAATAAGTGGACGTAATAAGGGAATAACTGAAAACTAAACAATGCAATAACTCAAAAGTTAGGCGGGATAAGAAGAGGGAGGTTATGTGACATGATGACATGACGTTAGATAAGATAGATAAGAAGTGAGGTTTCAAAACGGCCGCTTAGACAAAAAGTACCAAAAATACTAACTAATTTACTGTTAATTGTTATTTCAATTGTGCAATAGATTGAAATTAAATAGTGTACATATGCATGTGATTTTACATGTTAGCGGCAGTTTGAATGTGGAGCAGGCGGTGGAACAGGAGATGTTTGAAGGAATTTGTGGACGAGGATTGACGCATGGAGGTAAGAAGTGAGTTCCATAAGGAAGGTAGCACGAAGGATTTGCTGAGGGAGGAAGTTTTATGAGAGGGGATATATAAGTCTATAGGTTGAGACCTAGTATTGAGAGAGTGGATGTATGGAGGGGTTTTGGTTCTGAAGACTTGCAAAATTTGTAATGGAGGTGATAGTTTTGTGGTGAATAAAATGGACATGTAAATCGTCTTAGTAATGAACGTATTCCTAAAAGATCAATAATTACTGTGCCGAACGGTAGATTGGGGCGTAAGTGGGAGGATTTCTTTAAAGTTTGTGGAGTCAGATTCAGATGATGGTCGGTGGATTGAAATATGTGGAAAGCTATTGGTGCATGAGTATTGAACGTTCGGGTTCGTAAGCTTCTTATTGTAATTATTAAAATAAAATATTTATTTATATTTTTGACCTTTTCGTTATTGAGATTTAGTTTGGTACTATATTTTTTTTATGCAGGTACTACCAAATTTTTACTAAAATCTCGCTAAGAACTAAAAACGTATTTGCAGTCTGTGTTGCTAAGTAACCTTCGATAACAGACGACCCACTCTCATCTAACGAGCAACATTTGAACATGTGCTAATCTTCCTCATGCTTATAAATGTATTTATTTATCAACCTGCTTTGAATTTAAACATTATTTTGTAGCTACAACTCTTTGGTGAGTGTAGGTCGCCTCAATGAGCGTCTGGACGCTTCTGTCCCCGCCAGATACCATCTAGTCCCTGATGGCTCGATACTCGTTCACTAGACCATCAGCCACAGCAGCAACATATTGGCCTTCCTCTTCTTCTTCTTGTTCCGAAGAATAGTTCTCTTAACACCTCTTCGCCTCCCATTTAGGCCACATGGCCTGCCAAACGTCATTGCCTTCCTGTGCGCAAGACTCGTGCAGTCTTGAACTCTCGATATATACATTACAGTTACTGAATGCTCCTTGTTCCGTTTCTGGCACAGTCGTATTTTTCTATTTAGCTTCCTGAAAAATACGTTACCAGTTATATTTTCTTGTAACAAAGATAAATTTCTGTTATGATGGGAATAATTTCGATATGGTTACACGTATTGCCGTTGCTAGGAAAGAGCTTAATTTTGTATTTATTATCCATTGACTACAGGTAGTGATGTATGTATTCTATGCTTAGTACAATTTTTTTTTTCTGTTGGCATCTCAGACTATGCAGATCTTTTTCCGCCTTAACAAGCCTGCTCCACCTCTGCCTATCTTGGGCTATTTCTTTCCATTTATCTACACGCAGCTCTGTCGCATCTTTGTTGATTCCATCTATCCATCTGCCTTTTGGCATTCATTGTAACATAGAGGCTTCCAGATAGATTGCTACGAACTACATGCCCCGCCCATCTTAACCACCGAGCCTTCATACCAGTGGATATTGATTGATCAGTTTCTGTTAGCAGTTATTAATTGGTCTTTCTTCTCCACGTGTTAGAAATGAGATCCCAGATCGCTCCGGTTATCGTGCGGTGAATTTTCCTCGCAAATCTTTCAACAATTTTTTTAGGATGCTGATTAGTAGTGTCCAAGTTTCACAGTCTTATATATTATTCACAATATATACAAAATATTTGAATTATTTGAACATTTAGTCTTCTAATAAAGCAGTTAAAAACTATTTTATATGTAATTATGACTCCACATTCGGAGACATTATAAACGGAAGCAGTCCCTAGATATTTAATGCCCTGAAGAAGATGAAGGAATGGTGACCCTAAGCTATCAGCTAGCTAAGGTTCGGGTAATTAGGGAGCCTAAAAAACCGTACGATCTATCGGAGGCGACGTCACGCGATGTAGCAGGCTTCTGTGACTGTTCGGCCGTGACCACAATAATAGTCGATCTAGTGGCAGGTGCTGCTGTGTTCGAGTAGTCGGGATATTGATATAATTCTGTCGGTCGTTCGGTGTATCGAGGGTTTCATCTGGAAATATTATTAACAGGGATTCCTCCTTCGGACGTTTTATACTCAAATAAATGAAATGAAAAGAAGGTTTTCTTCAGAATGATTACTCATTCATTAGATTTATCGAAGAATTATCAAAGATAATGCCGTACCAACAGAAAAACATTTTTGATAAATAATATTTGACTAGCTGACCCGTGCGAATACACCGCACAAACTTAATATTTGTATCTGATTGTAAGGACCTAGCACAATTTCCATTCAATAATGTTTGATACGCAAAGTTTTAATATTTATATATATATATATATATATATATATATATATATATATATATTTAGTAAGGTATCAGTTTATAAATATAGTTTACACTGTCCTGATTTTTCCTTCACTGGATTGTCATAAATTTACGAAAGTTTCTAAACATTGCTTTTGATAACGGCAAAACGGGTCATATTCTCAGGAAGGAATTGTTAAATCAATCAGTATAAATGTTACTTTAAAAAAAAAAAAAAAAAAAAAAAATCGAAAGTGTATTTTCAATCGGTAAACTTCAATAATAAAGATATAAAAGTAAAAGAAAATGTAATTGAAGCACATTGACATACATTCCAAAAATTGTTCCATGGGCGATACATTTATATAAATAAAAATAAAATTAATAAATAAATTATTTTAAAAAAAGAAGAAAAAAAAAGGCCAATTCTCAAAATCTTAAATTCTCATATGCAATCTTCGCAATTCAAATACTAAATGCTCAGAGCGCTACAACTCTGCACTAAATCGTCCGATTTCGATGATTTTTTAAAAAACATTTTGTAGAGAATTTAGTAAGCCTTCAAATATCTAATAGGTGTACTTTTCGCGTTATTCGCAAATTATGAATTTATTTTTAACGTATCGATTCGTTGAAATGACATCACTTGATTTGAAGCTTCCCAATTTTATTTAAGTTCTAGTATTAAATTATGAATAAAATTAATCGATTCTTGCATTCTACTTGATATTCCTTTTCTATTGATAGCTCATTTGTCAAAATTCATCAGTCTTGAGAGTTGGAAAAGGCATATATAATCAGAAATGATAGATATATAAGATATGCCACTCGACGTTCTAACATTATAAGAGGGACAGGATATAATATAGAGGAAAGATTCGATGTATCGATTTATAGAATCTACTGTCTGAAATAAAATTAATTTATTCGGCCGTGTAGTAAGGAGCGAAGTTAGCTCCTGCATTGCACCATTATTGCCTGCCGGCCTCTGACGCAGTCTCCGATCGCGGTTATTTTATGGAGTTTGTGGCCGATTGTTTGACCGCAACAGTTTGCCGCCAACTGAAATCTTCGATGGATTCGTATCTCACTGCACTAATACAGCCCCCATGGTATATCGAATAATATTATTTTATAAGCTACTAAAATAAAACAAGTAATATGTATACTGCAAAATTAAAATATTGCTAACTATAAGATAGTCTTCGACCAACTAAATATCTATTGAAAAGATTGAAATTGAGGAGAGTAGCTCAACGATCCCTTAGGTTTTTCAGATATTAATGTAAGGATTTTATAATATTTTTAATATATATAAGATATAATATAAGACTACTGACCAGAAAATCTCAACTTTCAATTGACAACAAATTACTGATCTACAAGACAATCCTGAAACCCATTTGGACCTAAGGACTTGAACTTTGGGGGACAGCAAAATTCTCAAACATCAAACGCATCCAATCCTTTCAATCCAAAGTCCTCCGAACAATAGTCGATGCTCCGTTCTATGTAACCAACAAATCCCTACATCATGACCTTAATATCCCATTTGTCCTTGACCTTATCCCTGAAAAATTTTCAAAATTCCATCAGAACCTTATCAATCATCCAAATCCCCTAGCCCAATCCCCTATCTAGTTCCACTCATCCCTACAACCCTCCTCGAAGGTTGAAGCGGCAGTGGCCCAGAGATCTTTTATAGTATTTATTTTGGAGTTCTGGCAATGGCCAGATTCTCCACTCAAGACATGAGTGTATGTGGCTAAAGCGCTCTCGCTCAAACTCTCCCGGCTTTAGCACCGGTGAGGAGGTTGAGAGACTAGCGCAGGGATTTGGGTTCCCGCCTGGTTGTATATATTGTATATAGGTATGATTGTATTTTTATGTTTTTAATTTACTTATATTTAGGTTATTTTATTGTATATAGTTTTTATTTATTATTATTTAGTTATTGTTTTACTTTGTTAATTTTTTTTGTATATACGGTGTGAATGTGTTCATTTATCAATATAATTATTGTCCCTGTGACAGAATATTGTATGTCTAAATAAACAAATTAAAAAAAAAAAAAAATTATTTTTATTTATTTTTTTAAATTAATACATTCTGCCGCATCGGAGGTCATTAATATTAGGGCTACATTAAACATTCATACAAATGATAACTAAAATAGAGATAAAAGAAAAAGAGTTGTGGAAAGTAAAATAAGAAAATAACATACATTGGTAAAAAAAAAAAATAAAATAAAAAGAGAAACTAAATGAAATTGAAATATATAAAAACACATTCACACTTATATACAATATTTACATTCGCCTAAGGGATTCTGAGTCATGCTTTATCCCCTAAATGTGGAAGCCAAGGCAGGACTCCAGGAGATCCCAGTGCTTCTCTCCCAGCCGCGTCACTGCTATTATTTTTAATAAATAAAGAAATAACTATATCTATGGCTATACTAACTAAGAATCTTAGTTACTGAGAGAACTACAGATCAAGACTCTTTTGTTGTGAACAAATAGTTCCTGAGAGAGTATGATAATCGATTATTGCAAGGATGGTATATCGAAGGCCTAATAGCGATATTAATATCACCCTATAACTATGGATTCCATCAGAGTAACGGACTATTTCATATAAATATTGATTCTCTAACGCATAGGCTCATCAAAAATGATATTAATTTCTTCTTTAAATTAATTTATGGATTAATATCAATTTCATCTACCCTCCTTGGTAAAAATAATTTTCTAGTTTCTATCCATCTTCGCCATCCTATTTTTTTTTTTTCAGAAATTTGCATTCAACCAATTACGCCTTCCATTTATTTGCCAATATATCGGATTCAGCCAAATGATAATTTTTGTGCACCCTACATGGATTTCTTTGATAATTCGTGGTCTTGGTTAGAGAAAGTTTTAACTAAAAAAAAATTGGGCAAATTGAGTTTACTGAGTAAGAAAGGTCCCACACACACCATTCAACTCTACTTAATCCATCGATAGTCAATATTATCGAAATGTTGAGATTTTTCTGTACTACGCACTACATTCTATATGAAATATGCATATAATTTTTTTTCTAACGATCAGATTCATATATAATTCCTAGTTCAATTAAAAAACGATAGTTTTAATTTTTATTTTCGAGTTAAAATGTCGAACAAACCATATATATAATGAAAATACGTGAATGGAGCTATTTATTTTTATTTTCTTATTTATATAGTTTTAATTCTTCTTATCTGTTGTGTGCCATCCCTTTTCCGCTAGATAATTATTTTTTTTATCTCTCACAAATATACAAAGCAAATAAAAATACTCGCGAATAGATCTAAAACGTAGTTACTATAATTTATTTCTATCTTATCGAATTATTTGTTCGATACTTAGCTTAAGTATTACTAAAATATCTGACTTCACTCTTTGCACATCTTTTGGAAGTATGTTTTTTAATTTGTGTTCAATTGGCCATTAGAAGCAAAGAAATATTAATTTTTTCTGCTAATCATAATTACCTATCAGAGCGTATTTTATTCAATTGTTTCTTTCCGGTCTGTTGTGCTTTAATTAAAAAAAAAAAAGATAAGGATTATTTTTCTTCAAAGTGGTTCTAATAATTTACGCAACTGTCATTTTTCGTTGTAATGCTTTACTTTGTTATAAGTT